CACTGATATCACTTACTGAGCAAATCCCATTGGAATTGGTGAAACCCCATAGCCTTTTACAATCTATTATATCTCTGGTTTGCATGAACGAATTTCCATGGCATTTTCACTGATTATACACAAGAGTATAATTAATATGCTCCATCAAGATGGAATACTCATGTTAAGTTGTTTTTGAGAAATTAAAGGATATCTGCTTGCACAACTTTGTTTGAGACACCCTGAATATTATTTAAAAAACAGCAGTGGGCAACTGGTGAATTATGTACGGTAATAAGTTTAATGTGTTTTCGTTTGCACAGGAGGCAATGGTGGAAATCGACGTGGATCAGTCTGGCTCCGTGGACTTCTACGAGTACCTAGGCGTCTCCACCATGCTGATGATGAAGATAGGTAAATCGGAAATCTTCCGCAGCAGCATGGTCAAGCACGCCGGGGGATCCATATCAAAAGTCTGCTCAATACAGTGAAGATGATGACTCTGCCAGAATAGAACAGCATTACAAGAAGCCTTTTCGGAGTTCCAACTGCGCATTCATAACCTGTGACAACGCGAATTGTTTGTCTCAAATGGCCTTTGACATCATCGCGCCACTGACTTTACAAAAAGGCTGTTTGTGCATTGTGGGTACTGTCAAAGGGCATTTGAGACAAACAATGTGCGTTGTCACAGGTTACGAATGCGCGCAGTTGGAACTCCGAAAAGGCTTATACCCCTTTAGATAAATTCCCAATAAGCATTGGAACCGAGGCAACAGTGCTATCTTGTGTTGAGAGGACTAAAAAAAGAAGAGGCCCTCAATGCATACAGTGACTTAGCACTGAGAGCCGCGGTTTCCATGCTAATTTGAAATTCGTCTATAGACCATGTGCAACTTGAATTGAGCTGCTCAGCACAGGAATCTGCTAATCACGGAAAACATGCTTAGAAAGGCAGGTTACCAACGAAACAATCGTGTAATTTGTATTACATGTACTGGTTCTCGGGTATTTTCTGCTTATTAACTCCATCAATTTATTGGCCCATATATATTTCACATTCATGAAAAATAGTGTTTAGCAAATTTATACATATACGCTGAGCAAAAATCAGCTGATAACCAATTACCGTGCAACTATTCCTAAGATGGAACTTTTGCGTCGGGGTGATGTAAATCAATGTTGGGTTTTGCCCTTCACCGACGTATAAACACTGATTACTCAGTGTGTTACCTCCCGAGAGAAAATTGTGTAAGCTCGGTGGTCGAGTGGTAAGACGTCTGCACTAGAAAGCAGGAGGTCGTGGATTCGAGTCCCACCCGAGTGGACATCAAGCCGCGGGATAATCCGGTTAAAGGAAATGGCATATCTGTTGTGGTGTTATCAAGATTATACTGTATTTTTAAAGGCGTGCCAATGTTTATTAATGGTTGAACTGCATTTCCGGTGTTGGTTATTTTGTTTTGTCTTGATCGAGTATTGTTCTGTTTTCTACTATGCTCACCATACAAGAAATGTTTTCAATCAGCTTATGGTAAATTTTATACACAGATTGAATAGTATTAGTGTAAATGAGTGGCTACGTAAAGATTGTGTTATTTTACACAAAGTGTTCCCCTCATTTTGGCTGAGAAGTCTGTCAGAGCATTTTTTACACACTCAGGCAGAATGTTTTTGTGTGTGTCATGATCCAGATGTAATTGAACAATCAAATCTTATGTTTGCGATAACCCAAATATTTTTTTTTGTAATGAATTAGGTGAAGTGTGTCTCTTAGAGTGTCATTTCTAAACCTGAATTTCTCTTTGCGGATGGAAAAAAAACTTTACTCTATCATGCACATCTACCGAACGCATTTGCTCCATTTTCATTATTAAAAGAGCGTTCCCTTCGTAGTACTGAAACTAAATTCGTGATGGTTGCTTGTAACCAGTTCACTGAGTGTTGAGTATTGTTTTTCCCCCAAAAGTGAAGCATGTAAATATATATTAAATTCAAGCACATCTCATTGCAATTTGCGATCCCGTTGAAATGAAGGGGTTGGTGCGAAACCTCCTTAATGATGAATGGTGCACAATTTAGAAACACATTTTAAGGAAAATGCTATTTTGAGGCGGTGAAAAAAAATACGGTTAGATATTGTGTCCATGTATGAAACGAGGGCAGAGATTTAAAAAAATACTTCATGTTTATTTTGTGAAGCAGATTTTAATTTCTTTTGATAAACTTAATTTTGTATTAAAAAGTATCAAAGATTTCTTTGAAGCAGCATATCATACACACGGCCTGAGTGATCGAAAACAAAGCTTGGTGTCCGGGGCAGCATTATATCTGTTCACAGCATTATTTGGCAAGCTAAAGACTGTTGAGTGTGTATTTATTAGGTTCGAACGCTGGAGTAAAAGAATAATACTATGATGCATTTACAACTTCAAATACCATTCGTATCATTATTAGTTGTGTGTACCGGTAGGTTGATTTTACCGGTTCACCAGATCATCGGGCCATCGTACCGAGTTGTGTGCCGAACATTCGGACCGATCTGACCGTATAACGGGCAACCGAATGAAACCATACATCATTGATTTGTTCGCGTCCGATTTCACCGGATCCAAATGCACCGCACGCAACTTCTTAACCAATCAGATTCATGAGGGAAGTCACATGGTTGTCATCATATGACTGGTCATCTGTGACTGATCATCATGTGACCCATCGGCATTGGGCATGCGCAATGGTAACGTAGCGGTCTAACCGCAACGGTGAAAAAAACAACGTATACCGGTGATGGATGATCCGGGAAACCGGTAAAATCGGGAATGTGTGTGCGGGCTTTAGTGTTTGATTGAACAAAATGTCTGCCTGCTAGCTCGCACCAGCACTTTGGAGTTCGTTCAGAATATAATACCAGTATAATTCCTTCTCATTTTGGTCATTGTCTCTGGTCATCCATGCGTTTGATGACCCTGTTCAGGGTAGTTAGTTAACTACAATGTGCTGGTATCTAATCAGCAATGTTTTTATGCTGCTCTTAAGCTTTTGCTTGTAAAAACAAACAAACATTGACTTAAGTTTTGAAAAGTGCGGTTCACATTGCTCGGCAAGGTCATTTCGTTGCCATGAGGAAATTGTCCAATGAACCACTCTGAGAGCAAACAACAAAGCAATACTCAGAAAGTGAAATGTCGAACTCTAAAAATGTATTTCATATTCCAATTTAAAATGACATTTGTTATATAACTGTATCTTTTAAAGTATAAACATTATATATATATTACAATTCAGAAACGTGACATCTTGGAATGTATAGTACGATATATTACTCAAAACGTGACAAGGGGCATATGTGTCGGTCAACTAAAATACTGTCCTCTTTTTGTGCAGTGATGCGTGACTGAAATGAAATAAAACACATTTTGTGTTTAGGTGTTTAGGCCAAGGAAATGGAGTATTTGCAAAAATCAAACATTTTCAAAATTGACTTCATGGTTTTGTAATTATTTAAAAAATAGACCGATTTTTTTTTTTTTTGGGGGGGGGGGACATACTGTATGTACGCATCTTTCATGACAGTGCATAATAGGCTACTGGCACTGTCAATGGTTTAATTACATTACATATTAGAAGCAGTATGCACGTATAACACAACCTGGAAAAGATAATATAACACAACATGAAATAGATGTTTATTCGTAAATATATATACACAATACTATTTAAATACATGCACCTTTACGATACTGCTCCCACGTAATACCAGTGCAAATTAGCTCATATGTATCCCTTGAAATGTACACAATATTTTTCAGATCTAGGTCTATATGCATTGCACGGTCTGTGTTTTTCATCCTTGATGCCATTAACATAAAACAGAATCGCAAAATCCAATGGGGAGGCCCAGATGTCACATCGACGGATAATAATGAGCTCCGCACACACAGCCGTGCACTTGTGTGTGAATTCCCAATTATAGTTACACCTGTTAAGTTTAGGCAAAGGGATTATGTGTGGCTTGTGTGATGACCGTGACTTTGGTTGGAAGCACCCGATCTCATCATCATTCAATATGCCGATTGATTGTGGCGAGTTAGCTTTCCTACAGATAAAGGCGCGCCGTGGATTATTTTAATTAAAATTAGTTGCAGTCGAGACCACACGTCTGAATCACATTGTGGCTGAGTTTAAAACATCTGATCGGTGCGCATGAAACAACATGAATAAGATATTACATTTGTAAACTTAGAGAATATATCAGAAAGAGGTTAAGATTGTTTTTTTTTTGCAATTTACCCATAATATCCATTACAGTAAGATTATTTTAACCAGGCTTTAAGAATCACTGAACTGAAGCAAAACCAATTGTTCTTAGTTCTGCTAACAAAGGATATGTACGCCCATGTTAACAATTCTATAATAGTAATCATCATGTTATTCATGTACGAAAGTGCACAATCCAAAATTCCTTGTTAAACGTGAAAACACTCGTTGTAATCACAATTTTGCAATATTTAAAAACAAATGAAAAAATGCTTATGGCGAGCTAGGTCGTGAATTGGACTTACATCTGGCCTTGGGTATATCAAAACTCTTTTTGCTTATTGCACAATTTCATAAGGCGTAATTTCTCGTCCGTGACGACTATAACTGCAACCTGATCGCCTCCCGAGACTGAGGTTTCAGCAATGCTGGTTTGATATTCGATATTCGATACTACATACGTTTCTACAGTGAATGTGAGAGTTTTAGCTTGATATTCGGTATCGTACATTCGAATATGACTGTTTTCATCCTCCCATGGACTTAATACACGGTTAATCTGCCTGCACCGTGAAGTTAAAATAGCTCATAATGTAAACGGGAAAATATTTGGGGGAATTGTACCTTTGATGATACAAACATGGCATTTGGCACAAAGAGTATGTCATGAGAAAGATATTTGGCTACAGGGCCATCGCATATTTGTCCTTTGAAAAAAGGTAGAGATCGAAACAAGCAATTTTCCTTTTTTTTTTTAAATGGCAGCCATTGCTTGTTATTCTACCTATAATTTTTCAAAGGACAAATCTGTGATGGCCCTATAGCCAAATATCTATCTCATACTAATACTATGATTGTGTGCCAAGTACGCCATGCTTGCATCATCAAAGGTACAATCCCATCACCTATCTTCTCTACTAATTCGTGTATACAAAGACGAAAAAAAAACTCACATAGAAAATGCGTCCAATATCAAAGAAAGTTTTATGTCATATTTCATGGCGTGGATTTCTCGCTCAGTCGACCGAAGTCTAGCGGGTACCGCTCCGGTAGGCTCTCCCGCACGGACTGGACGGCGCACCAGTCCACGCGTAACTGGTCCACGATGTCTGCCATCTTGTTGTCGAGTCGGCCTGGGCTTTGGTACTGCGCGTCTCGCACCGTCTGGAAGGCGTCCGCTATCCGCTCCACGGAATCCCTGAGGTGGTTGAGGTTGGCTTCCATGGTGTATCGGTCCTCCTTGGCCACTGAGAAGTCGCTGGAGATTTTCAGGATGGCCCTCGATTCCTAGATCGAAAGACATGATTTATTGAATGAGGTTTGTTGGTACGAAGGTACGAAGAGCAGAAAATAGTGCATAAACAAATCAGCTTGGAATCACCCACGAGAAATACAGATCGCATGATTACTTTGCTCGTGGTAACCCGGTTGGCTAGCACAATTCCTTGCTAGGCACGTAAAAGTGTGGGGGAACTATCACTATAAAAAGACTCGTCATATAGACACACATAGGTGATGGGTTGTGCCTTTGATGATGCAAGGGAGGCATTTGCACACGGTCAGAGAATGTTATGAGAAAATATTGGCTATTTTGACAGTTTTGAAAATTGCTTGTTATTCTACCTACATCTTTTTTCAAAGGACAAATCTGCGATGATCCTACAGCAACTATACCTTTTTTGAGACATACTCTGACTGTGTGCCAAATGCCATATCATCAAAGGCACAATTCCCCTAATATTTCTCCTATATGCCCCACTAGTATGGTTTTGGAAAGTGGAAGTTATAGAGTGGTTTGTCAGTATGGGCACACAGTGAAAAACGACTCTACTCCTTATGAAATCAGGCAATGTTACCACCAATCTGTAGGCCTATTTGAGTTGGCTTTGAGAGATACATGTAAGTGAATTTTATATTCAACGAACCGTTAGAATTGGCGTATAGTGAGACTTTATTGCCAACTGTGACAGCACACTTACATTTTCCATAATCTGAAACAACTCTGGGAAGGTCTTCTTCACCGCGGCGTCAGTATCTGGTCTCTTTTCAAGACGCCGATACAGCCGCTCCTGAAGAACGATCAGTGGGGCAATGGCTCTGAGCAGCCTTCCAAGCCTGTAGTGCCGAGTAACGGCTGCAAGGGTGGGCTTGGTCTCCACAGCCTCTTCGCAACTGTTGCTGTTGGTCTCTGTCTTGGTGGCACATGTTGCTTCCTGGTGGTTCTTTAGGCAGATGGCCAAGGATACCGAAGACTCGTACAGACGCTTGGGGGCGGGTCTCAGGGACTGCACGAAGGCTCCGTTTTGTGACATCTCTACACAGAAAGAAAGTAACAAAGTATTCACGTTAAGACTTGAAGGTGAGAAGTGAGGTTTGAAATAAAAAAGGAAGCTTGTTTTGACGCTTGTATTTGAGTTAAGAACGTTTCGTTGGAAGCTTTGACGTCACTGCGACCCGAAATGTTGACTAAGCTGTTGATTGATCAATATGGATGCCGAGTTTTTGTAATACCACAGCGGGTTACCGAAGACCCGATAGAAGGCGCCTGCTGAATGGTCAGAATCTTGAGGTCAAGACGCAGTCTTGGTTTGCATAATTAATCGCCGAATCTGCGCGAATATCATAGACGCTTGTCTGCAAGCCGATATTCCATAGACTAGCCGATGGCCAAATCAAAACATGCACAGCGATCGATGGATAGTACATTGGCGCTTTTATCGTGTCAGCGAGTGACCTTGGCGACAAAACTACCCGCATCTACTGCCTGGTTACCAACCGAAACGGCGTTAAAACTGCAGTAAAAACCACACTAATGGTTCACCAGACGTGTTATGTTTAATCTGGTTGTAGCTTTTCGAATAGCTTTACAAGAGTAAAAGTGTGTACTTTTTGCTTCTCAACTTTGCGTCACACAGTGCATAACATAATGGTTTCACGTAATGTTTACTAAAACTGCAAAGTACTTTTGCAGTGTGCACATAGTTATTGTTCCTTAACACCAATAAAAAAAACAGCTGAGGAAATTCAGTGCAATATCACTCTGTTACTTCAACTCTTAAAGCTAGTTATCTTTGATTTTGTTATCCTTTTTGTTAATATGTTTAGAGGGTTGCCCCCCCCCTTCCGATGGGGAGCAGTGAGTTAGAACGCGTTGATAAGACAAACTTTGGAGTGTGTCCGCCACTTGAAAGCCTTTGAAATTGCCGTTGAAATATTTTATGTTAAACGTTGACACAAACACAAAATCCTGGTATTCATTATGCATATTTTGCTCATTTTTTTTTATGTAGGTCTATTTGGTACTGGGTTGTAAATTTTAACTGCATGAAAACAAAAAAAAAAGAAAGAACATGTTCTTCATATCATATGGAAATCCCTGTACTGAAATGATCCATGCTATCAGAAGAAATGCACGTTTTACTAAAATAACTTATTTTTACAGCTGTCCATGGAATGCTCATTAGAAGCTATTGAGCCGAGTGAGTATTACAGATTATGCACATGGGCATTCAAATACAATTGATATTTAACCATTTGAGACAAGAATGAAACACTGTTTTTACTGTCAGATTGTGCGTTTTGAATATGAGGAACAAGTCAAACCTTTTTCCCCTGAAATATTAATGGCGATTTTTGTCTATTTTACTTTGCAAGCTTTCGTTCGTTCATGGAGGTGGGAAAACGTTCATGTTTCATTGTATTTAAAGGGTATTCACCAGCTTGTAGAACGGTAAATGATCAGTGGTGGACAGCCGAATTTCGTGATCTTCTTTTAAAATTAAAATAGACAAAACTTGGGAACAGAGTATGCAAATAACGTAACGTTTTCACAGTTAGTCAATAACATGTACTTGATCCCAATGTTATTTTTATGACATGGAGAGAACTACATATTTTTCAAAACATTCTTTTTCTAATTGAGTCGCTTTCCTTGTGGACTCACCATATCCCAAAATGGCGTCGTCGCTTCGACTATATTCACTTAATATATGGCCTATTTGGTAGACTTAGTACCAGGAACGGTTGTGCGAGGCTAATGTGTATCTATGGTCCAGGTAACATGTAGAAACTACTATTAAAAAAAATGCACTTTGTTCCCGATAATGCAATAGCAAAGTTTCCTATAAAACGAGGCCACTGCATATTTGGTAATCTGTTGCACTTTGTTCCTGATAATGCAACAATTGACTTAAACACGAAAGACACCAGAAAAGACAATACGTCTCGATGTATCTAAACAAAATGCACAGTCAGACACTATCTCAACTAAATACACTCGAGAAAAAGTAAGAAGAACAAAAACAGCCGTGTCGTTTATCCATTTTAACTGCACAGTTAAAACCAGATGTGCTTTTGTGTAGTTGACTTTATTTTTTGCCAAAACCAAAAGTGTGTTTACGCGTTTTGAAAACAAACAGACAGCCGTGATTTTTTTTCTTCTCCCGCTTCACATGAATCGATAGACAGATCGACATAACATGAATTAATATGACATTACAGGACCTTTCAAAACATGAGTAACTATGTTCCGTTAAATGCATCTGTTGTGCTTACTGACGTTTGTCGCTGCAGGGTGAATCGCAGTGTTTTACTAAACAGGGTTGGTGCTTTAAATGACGCCAACCTTCACTGCCTCTGTTGTCGAACATGCTATGCTTTTAATTGATAGGGACATGCAGCGGTTTCGAGATTGCTCCTATCCATGGAAAGGTCCTCAGCATTTTAAAGGTTCTGCCTCAAACGTTTAACATTTCAAGAATTGGCCAGGTTGCCCTTACCATAAAAGAGGTCTTTTCCATTCTATTTTTTTCTTTAAATGTGTGCATTCAAATTATGATTTTCATTTTAATTAAATTATACACATTTCTTTCTTACTCTCTATTTTCATACGTATCAATGTAAAGTTGTTTTGATTGTGTACTGTATTTATAATTTCTCCGCGGGTGGCGACCCATATTTTGTTTTTTAATCAACCACAATAATTATGATAATTTCATCAAATTGTATATAATATGTACAATTGGATGAATAATAATGACAATAATAATAATAATAATTAAATACTTTTAAAATAAATATTAATAATATTTGACGAATATGTTTTAATAATACAAAATTTGCAATTCCAATTCAATCTTTTAATCAAATAAAAATTCTCACCTATACTGTCTGCGCCAAATTTCACAATACAATTACAACGAATTTACACAGATTTTTTAGGGGGTATAATGTCCTTGTAAAGATAATTTCAATTATGGAAAAAAATGTTGCTCTTCGTTTGCCAACGATCTTGGGTTGTGGACTTTGGTCGGTAAAACTCTCACTGATTGTCATCACAAACACCGTTGTGTTTACATAACTGATTAAACATTTATACATTTACCAATAGTCCTTGCGAAAACAGGCTACATTTAAAAAAGGATCAATTGATAAATGAGCTCCAATTTTATATTGTCAGACTAAAATGACATAGCATTTAAAACAAAACCAGTGCTGACCGTTAAGTGTAACAGTGTATCATTTGGAAGAATAAAACCGAATCAACTGTTGAGTAAAATTGAAATTATCCTGACTAAAACTCGTACATTTAACGCCGAGTTTATATTGGTTTACAGTTTGACAATGACACGTACGGTTTTTCATCTTCACAATCGGGGAAAAATTGCACAAAACCTTCCGAGTAATATTCCTTACTGCGTGAAATAAAAAAAAAACCAGATCATTTCTTAAGGCTATTGTCATAAAAGAGTCAAATTTCTCTCAATCTACAGAATTGTAGCAAGCTTCAAATGAATATTTTAATCTAAACACGATAGCCCAGGGGCTGTACAGCCCTCTCATATAGCGGATCACTAAAAGTACAGAGTGTTATCATGCAGGACATATTCTCTCTGTCTGCATGACACCACCACAGATGAGAGTCGAAATCTAAGACGAATAGGCCGACACAGTTGACGAAAGAGATGCTCGTCTATGAGACTCCGTGGAACTATTAAAGAGAAATACAAAACATTCTGAATTCGTATGACGAAAATGACTTACCTTTTTATCAGATATAAAATCGGCTTAATTGTTAAACCGATGTACGATCTGGAAACGATGCGTGAATGCCAGACAGACAGCAGATTGAACCACAACACGTCACCTCACCTATATACACGTACGATTCGGTGGGTAATTATTATGAAAATGCTATGAACGGTTCAGTGACATTCGAATATCTACGCGTTACCTTCGTATACACGGTGCGTTGTCGAGGAGGATAATTATAATACTGTGACTTGCTGCGTGCAGGGCGATATTACAATGACCAGTGGCTGAACACTGATTGTTCTGCGGTGCATTGCCATTAGACTTTAGAACGGAATATTGCGCACGCCGCGCATTATAATAACCTTACCTGAGCACCAGCATAAAACAGTCTATCATTTTGTGTGTGATGTCAGTGGTCCATATTATATCGTATGGTACAAAAGCGAGGCGCAGAGTGTCATTTTATCAACAGCGTGATATTTGAACCCATAGTGACCTGTCCTAGATTGGACATCGGAAGAGAAATTATTCTGCATCACCCGCCACACAAAATATCACTAGCTTTGAGACGAAAAAAAAAAAAAAGGAAGGAAAAAAACAGACACGTTGTTGGTCCGGGGGGGGGGGGGGGGGGGGGGGGGAGGGGGGGAGGGACCGGGATTAACAAATGATTGCCGCCCCCATGGGTTGAGTACAGTATAATAGTGGGCATTTTAAACCCTTATTCGAAAACTGTGCTGTCAATTCAAATTTCTACTCAAGATGATCGACTTAAGAACACACCAATGACACCAACGTACGCCCCCATCATATGTCTGTACATATACTATACTCGACGAAGTTTGCACAGATAAGACGCTGCTATGAACGGACATAGCGCCCTCTCGTTTTGGGACAAAGAATAATTTTATGTTGAATGATGTCAACAATTTGGGCCTCTCAAGCGCTGACATTTATGTGAAATTAATAATGATAATCTAAATAAAGATGTTACTTTTCTTTTTACACTGGAGTTGCCTGAACTAAGCATACCGATGTCGTTTTTAAGTTGTCTATTGTGTCGTCTTGAAGTTGGCATTGTAGAACAAGCACACAAGGTTATTGATAAGAGTTGGTATAAATAAAACAACGGAAGTTTATGCAACGCAGTTTATGCAACTTCCTACTCCCCTTAAACGTATGAAAACTATTTGACATCCTTTTTTGTGTGGTTTATTTCATTGAAAAGTGCACTTCTTCATAGTTTTCCATGTTTTTCTGGACAACTGAGGGCGCCGTTGCTGTGATGTCATTTCAGGAAGACACTGCTCAGTTCAGCGGTTTTCTGTTCAAATAATAATTGTGAACCAACATTTTGCTCATTGAAAACAGTCGTGAGAAAGGTCTGCTCACTGGTTTTCTGCCATGTACTGACCCAACAACACAGCACCAAAGAAAAGAAAAATGTTCGACAGCAAAATGTCAAAAATTCTAGTAACTTTTTGTGCTGAAATAGCTGTAACATTGCGGTTCTGCCCGGAACGACATCACAGTTTTGCTGATGAGTATGGACATTCGCATTGGCATAAAAACAAAAAGGCACCAAAAATACCCTTGAAAATGGTCAAAGCTAATATTGAAACCAGGGTTAAATGGGACACAAAGGTGCATTTTCAAGGAGTGCATAAAAAAATTACACTGCATGACCCCTTTAATTCTCATGTTTTATTTCTCATGAACATATGCGAATTCGTCTCACGGGATTTTGTTAGTCATACTGTAATCATTGGACGTTTCAATCTCAAATACGTGTTCACGCAGAGATAATCTAAACTGACATTTCTCTCACCGTGTTCAGCTCTCTCGCTAATAACATGCTGCTGATTGGAACCACTTAATGAGATTAACCTGCGAAGTTGATTTTCGCCAAATCAATTACCGCGTTACTGAAATCAATGGCGCGAGATACAACATATCACCCATTGGAATAATTGATGTCATAAATGCACTGTGAAGGTCGAGCACAAAAAGTCTGCATGTTTATGTGTTAATGTGTTTTCCTCGGTTTACCTTAATTATCTCCGTTTTGACTGATAATTTTCGTAAGTAAAAATGAACAACACATACAAGAAAAAAGTGATCGGGGTTTTGGTGTCTTGCAGTCTTTTCATTCTGCGTTTACTTCTCGTCGTTTTGGTTTAAAACAAAATCTGAGGTGATGTTCAATAAACAGGGTTAAAGGTTACACGTAATTTGAACAAAGGGCTAACTTCACAAAAGTAAGCTACATTGATTCAAAGATCTCAAAATAGTTGTTCATGCTAGGGGCCTGGTAGCATCCCCCGGAAAATTTTGAAATCTACGAGGATTACTCCTGCATTCTAAGGCAATTGAAGAATAAAATTAGAAGCTTTAGTATTCCATTTATTATTTTTGTTTTGTATTATTAGTTTAATCAAAAAATAGCCAGCGGCTGAACTGGGAGGGAGGGGGGTACTGCAAAGGGTAGCCACAAACATTTGCGTATGATGAGCGGCAGTGTACCTCAACTAGCTTTCATTCCTTTTTTCCGACCTTGCGATCACCCCTTTTTCAATTAAAATTACTTCCAAGTGTTGGCTGCAGCGTGAAATGTTCAACACCGAATGCAGCTACATCAAAACGGCGGCCAGATAACCCGGAATCAAACATTAAAGGAACTGAAATTAAAAAAAGAAAATGTTGTTAACACCCGAAAACAAAAGAAATATGCATATAACTATACTTACATGATGTATGACAATAATCATAATCCAGATGTCGTCTCAGCTTATATTCGACGGAAACCCCGAGTGTTCACAGGTTTCTTGTAATCAATGTAGGCTGTAAGAAGTCAATCTGCTGCCCTCAAGTGGTATAAAACATTTCCCAGTGAATTAAACTGGAATACCTAAGACTGTTTTTGAAACCCCTAACCCAAAACGTGCTAAGTACAGTGCACGTGACTTTTTCCGCACATTTTTTTCCGTAACAATATGGCGCTGATATTTAGCTTTAATAGCTACAGTATGCTGTCGCCAAAATTGTCCTGTCCCATAAGTTAGCTTCACTAACAAATTTATTTTCGGAACAAACCGATTCTGCACTCTTACATCAATTTACACTTCAGACGAAAATCAACGACATAATGTCCTCGTTGATCTGGGAAGAAAATAACTGTTTGCTCTTCTTTTTTCCCCCCATTTTTTTGTCGTTGAATCTTATTTGGTTGATGGCCAGCCATTGACATTTTTTTAGGTGAGTCGATAGGAAAAGGGTAGGTCAACATACTTCTTTCTGATCCCTGTAATGCAGTCCAGTCAAGTAAATCCCCCGAGTTTCTCATCGGCGGACGGATGTGTTGACTTATTCTCCACAATGAATCGCACGAGTGGCAGGCCCTGTGTTTGCTCTTCCTGAACATTGTTTCTCATCCCCCGTCTCCCCATCCGGGGGAAGAGACGCCGAACTCAGGAAGCCGCGAGTGTGATCTTTTATGCTGATGACAAGATTCTCTTTTGTAAATAAATCCTCCGTGATTCGAATCGACTTGGACCGTCCATCACAAGCTGTTTTCCTTGTTTTCTTTGGTATGTTTTTTGTCGTCATCACCTTTGCCATCCTTGGTATCCCATTATTGACCTGTAAGCACATGTGGTGATAAGATTCTCCACGTGGTTACACCGCGTATAGTTTTGGGCTTGCTGCTCGAGGGACCCACCATCACACCCTTACCATTATCATCAGCCTCTACGTTATCATTTTCACCGCCAGTATCACCATCGCCATCACCCACCATCCTCTCCCATCATCCCCATCATGTACACAATCATCTACATGATAGGACATCGTCGTTATCACCGCCATCAACCCTATCACCACTGTCACTACAATATCACCACTTCCACCATCACCTCATTTTCATCACCACTACGAGCCGTCACCACCGTCATCCCCATCACTTTCTTCACCATTACCATGACAATACTTATCGCCATAGACTACAGCGCCACAATGAAAATCTTTATTTAGCCTATTTTTTGTTTACAATTGTCTTAAATATTTTAATGTTTGCGATATCTTAACTATTTTTTTATTGGATATTTCCAGGCCCTACCAAGGCCAACATGACCCCACATCCCCTCCGGCCTACCCAGCACCTCGGACCTATGTCAAACTATGTTGAAGTGTGTTTAAGTTTTTAGAGTAATTTGACGAATTCTGAAATAATTTAGCTTTAATTTTTTTTACCTTCAAGTGCAGAATGTGAAAGCAACTTTAAAAAAAAAATGTAAAGTGACAGTAAATTTGAAGTTGGATTTGAATTGCAGTTTCAATATTTTCGAGGTTTTCTTTTATCTAGTTTACCGTTACCATGGTTACCATCGACACAATTTTTATCACCATAGTAACCATCTTTGCCCTTTTCCACCACCACCACACCATTGATGCATCAACAATACGTCTTCATATCGTAACAATGTATATAAATAGCCTCGGCAGCATAAATTAGCCACACTTGCTCTATTCCCCCTTTCTGAAATATCGATTGGGCTCCTCGCTCCTTGGAATGTGGACAGGTGTAAAACAAAGAACGTTCCGCCGTGTTGCATAGAGAATGCAGGGGCTTCTTTGGGTACAGTAAAATGTATTTAAATCATAGAAATACTTGAAGCAAAAGGGGATTTTAATGAACAATGGGGAGCGTCGGGCTGGAAGTGGCTGGCATTTGTATGGGTACACGTGCACGCTCAGACAGACATGTCACGTGTGGATCTGAATGACACATTTTTGGAAAAATGTCAAAGTTTTCTTCCGCTACTGTCCAAGTTGTTACAAAACAAAAATAGAGTTCACGCCACAAAAACTAATTTTAATATTATTCATTTAGTGATGTAGACGATTATTAAAAAAATCCGGTAACGGGATGTTATTCTCATAATTTAGTTTTAATCTACAAGTATATATCTGCTACTGAAGAAATATGTTAACCAAACAGGGTTTCCTACCAAAACGAGTTGTAATATTTGCAGTAACCTGCTTTTAAAGCTATTTAGTCCATTTAAGACAATGTCAAAGAAAAATGTGGATTTGGTCATTAGCTTAACAAATAGCAACAAACTTGAATTACTAAACAGCTTGGCCAGATATGGCGCCATTTGGCAATTGTTTTTTCGTCGCTGCCAGCTTTGTAGATCTGACTTTGACCAGAAAAAAATAACCACCAATTCACAAATCGATACTCTGGCCCGCTTGTCACGCGTGGTAAAGTAATGCGGCCACGGGGCTGCCGCCAACGCAGAAAAATCATCCTCCAGAAAATGAAAAGAAAAATTTCAGCAGACCTTCTGTCATCCCAAATTCTCTTAATGAAATCGATACCTCTGCATTAATTGAACCTATGTGATGCAGAGGCTTCCGACCGACATAGAAGATTACCACCCCCCCCCTCTCTCCACCTCCCCATGCCTATACTTCCAGCTCCCCTCTGATTTTGAATCGGAACGTCCAGATGTAATTGAACTCAACTCGGCCGTGGCTCGTCAGGCTGCTGAAGTGTAAGCCTGGAGTAGAGGCGTCAGATCCGGCCACAATACAGTCGAGGGAAAGACGGTGCAGTCGCGTGGCGTGTTTGGGTGGACACACAGGCACCGCACTCACACGGGCGCTTTGGGGAATTTCGTTGGCGATAAACCTCTCCTCTGGGACAGGTTACCTGGATTTTTTACTTTCTTCTGATTACTTGCCTCTGCTGAGGGTTTTAAAAACCCGGTTAGCACGTGTGTGTTCAGCAAGTTTTTATTTCGGTATGAATTGTGCGGATTTTCTATCAGGAATGGCCGTGTGGAGGTGTGTGTTGGTGATGATGGTGCTACAGACGCTTAGGTCGGTGGTCCATGTGGCGGGCCAACCGGACAACACTCGGCGGGACTCGACCAGCTGGGTCGTCGGTCTGACGGATCCGGTCCGCGTACCGGGAGGGCTGATCCGCGGCCAGCGGGTCCGATTACGGAACCGATACCTGGGCCCCGTGGAGCAGTACCTGGGCGTGCCCTTCGCCCGCCCGCCCACGGGGCACCTGCGCTTCCGACCGCCCCAGTCCCCGCCTACGAGCTGGTCCGGAGTGCGGAACGCCACTACCTTCTCACCGGCCTGCCCGCAGGTAGTGCGGACGGCCGAGGGGGATATACCAAACTGGAAGAGCGAACCACTCCGGCATCGCTGGCCCTACCTGCAAGTCATGGACGAAGATTGTCTATACCTCAATATCTATGTACCAGCCAAAGGTAAGTGTATTTTCAGCTTCAAATATCTTTTAATTAGAAAGCTTTAACGTTGTATCACCCTTGGCGTAACAAAGGGGGGACACAGGGGGTCGCGAAACCCCCACCTTTCGGGGACATGTACTCTTGTGTCCATTGGTAAAGAAGCAAGAAACAGTAGTCACGAAGTCCACCGATGTCTCTGTTCCAAACATTTTATGTAAAATTGTCAAAATCGGAGGCCGGCAAAAGCGAGTAAAATGAGAGCTAATCAAATCTCCGGAAAACTTAGCGCCGCTGGTCGCGAGGATGAAACGGTCGGGGTAGCTGCGTATTATTGCCCCCAGGGAGGTGGGTGGGGTCATCCACGGCTGAGCTCACCCCAGGCCGAAAACATCCTAACTTACTGTTCCGTGTAGTTCGTAATTTCAAAGTTCAAAACAACATATGCATATAAATCACATCGATTAAAAAAGACCTATACGCGAACAACTGCGTTTGATTTTGGTGATACGAATACCAACACAAAAATACATACCAAAATGAAATCGTCATTTTTAAAACATTTTGAATGAAAGCAGGTAAACCATTCCACTGTTTTGCTGTAAAGTAAATATTCTGTCATCAGCTTTATTATCGTAATTTTTTTCGCTGCTACTTCGGAGCCAGACATCAGCCAGTCCCCACAAAGCATTACGAGCACTAATACGAATATCGCCTTTTTCCCCTCATTTTGTTCTCACTCATTCAAGTGAAGCCCCTCGTACCTTAAGTGGCTTTCAGCATCTAATGGACGGATTCCATTTTCACAAAATGCCAAGGGCCGTTCCATTTTCCATATACTTTAAAGATGTAATTTCATGTGAAATGTCATAATGTATTTAAAAGGCTCGTGCTTTAAGTTCATCTGTTTCGTTCATTCATATAATTTAAAGAAGTTAGAGGAACACAAGAACTCTCGTTAACTCTCAATCTGATTTGAAAAGTTATTTAGATTTCTTGAATAGACCATTGAAAAGATAGCATTGAGAGTACATCAACCAATTCTGTTTAAAAAAACCTGATGGGACATTATTGAGGTGCTAGGTATCCATGCCTCTCTTTTCCATCAATGCATCTGCCTAAATTGAGTATGTCGGCAAATGGAATAATAATCATTCGAAACGACATTGGTAAATGCTTTTTACTGCGAAATCGTAATCCATCTGCCGTCATGTTTCCCCTGAGTCATTCGCAAGTCGCAGCATCTGAAGACCATGTGTAAATTGCAGATAACGGGGTGAACCTGACGAACATCTTCAAACCCCCACACAATCATCAGAAGTTATCGGCAACCTTTTTGAGTTAACACGACGTTGTCGTTTTGCATCGGACATTTCCTTCTGAAGTTTCATATCAGCGAATGTAACTATCAGCGCTCGAATCGACTTTCTTTTGTGCGCAGGCTACGGACTTCGGTAGTTTTTGAGTGCGTGCAATGAGTATCTACTCAGACTGCAATATTACTCACGTCTAAGCAATAAAAAATGCTTCAATATTTTTATAATTTCTCATGATGTAAGTATAACTATAGCCTAATGCGAGGTTTTCGTCCGAGGTTACATTTTAAGTTAAATCAGACAGATGTCTTGCGAATCTACAGTGCTCATTTTTCTTATTGGCGCAACTGATATAAACGCACTAGTAACACGAACCGTAAAATAATAACTGTCTGCGCTTCATCCAAAATACAATCTTGGTGTTGCAATTTAAAGTCGGCGCAGTCTTCATGGAAAACGTACCAAAAAGGAAAAAAATACTACAATATTGCATCAGCATCACTAATCAACCACAATACAATGTTTCCCTGAATTCCCTGGAACATAAATGTTAACTTCTACTCATTTTATTTCATGCTCGTATTCAAGTGCGACAGGCAGCTGTGCCACTTTATGATACTGCCAATTGCCAAAACATCCACCCAGTTGGATAGATGCATTTTAATAAGCCACAACTCCCACGGTGTAAAAAAAACAACACTTCATTGATTCAGCTCAGGTAAACTTACTACAGGAACACACTTAATCCTATTAGGGCAATATCTCAACTGCCCTCAGTTAGTGCCTTAACGTCAATTTTCTATTGACCGCCACTAGCGCAAATACACGTCGCCATTTGCTCTTCGTATAGTGCGCGCGCGCCGAATGAGCTAAAAAATCAACCTGGATCACGTGGTCAGGTCGTGACTGCAGTATTTCACGAAATATGTACTCAGCATAGTCAAATTTCACATCATTTGTGTAGCCCATCGATCACTGCGCCTTGTTCATCGCTGCGACATGCTTGTTTGACAGCAGTCGGAGCCACTTGTGTTTTATTTTCTTCTCTGATCAGACCATCAAGATTGCTTTCACAACTTATTAACGAATTTCCGGGCCGTTCAGGTATCCGATCACCCCGATGACCCATCGTCTGGAAATGAGTCACGTTTCTGTCAAACCGACTTTTGAGTTGTTCCCGGGCCTGCAATAGTGTTATTATAAGGGTCCATGCTTGGTGTTTCTTTGACCTCTTGGTATTTAATGTATAAGATAGGCTCCTTCTAGAGGAATACTCAACGAATATTCAAGCGCAAAGTTTTGTGAATTATGAGCCTAAATGGACTATTCCTATAGATTTTGGTTTTTTCAGGCCGTAATGTCCCTTTAAATGGCGATCTTCTAATATAAGGCCCATAATTCTGACACGGAATTACATGATACACTTCAACATGATCGAACACCCACGCAATGATAATTTTGGCCTTCTACCGCTAGTGGGTCTATAATGTCATTCCCGATCACGTTCAAGTGGTGCCTTTCGATTAGCTTCTCTTAGCTTGCCTGCGCATGTTTCTAGTTTCCTTTCATTATGTTGTCAGAGAGCCGGCTGCATTTTTCGTTAAAGGCAATGTACAACGTTTGCTTTGGCTGCAATTTTCAGAAATAAATGGATTTGGAGGATCAGTATGTTACAGTAAATATTGTTAAACTGACTTATTTCACGTTTGGGGCTTTTAGATGCTAGAAAAACTAAGAAAACCTATAGTCTGGTTCCCTGACCCCACTTAAGATGAAATGGAGCAATTAATACACTTTAAGGAATTGTAACTAGGCCAGACAGCCAGTCTAGCTTGTACCCCTTCACAGGTTTGTAATAAATTGCAAAGAAAAGTCAGAATAACTAATATCAACAGTAAAGAACAGTTTTTGAAAAAAGCCAACGCTGGTCGGCCGACCATCGTTGGAAAAATACAGTTTTTCTTGAAAATGTCAGCACACCCTGAGCCACGATTTTAAAAGATGATTTTAGATTGACAGTCCCTAACAATTCAGTAAGGTATTTCGTGATAATTTGATCATTTCATTTTGTTGATGTTTGCAAATGTTGTATCTTCCCTTTAATATAGCAATATTCCATCGGACTTGTGTGTCGCCTTTGGGACGGACTGCATTGGTATACAATATATTACCTGTTTGTTTAGTGCGCGTTTGGTGCAGAGTTTGAAATGAGCTTCATCTTATGACACAGTCCTCTCTTATATCCAATGCGTGAAAATTCCCTCTCTTTACTCAAGCTAAATTCAATCCATCGACAATCCATGAGTTTACACTCGAGTTTCGACTAAAGCGATTCTTGTTCAAGTGTTTCAATCTAAAGTCAGAGTGATTGGAACTCTAAATCGTCAGGCCAATAATTTCGCTCATTTGAAATTATAGAGAGTATGTTCTCTCTAATGTTATATCGTGCATGACTATCGTGCATGACTGGAGACAAGGTCTCCAGTGTCCCTTCATACTTACAGTATACACACTTAAAGAGTTGTAACGAGTCGCTGTATTTTGAGACTCGAGTCGACCTTGAGAGTCATTTTAAGGAAGTGACTCGAGTCGAGTCCAGTCACAGGTCAAGAAGGTTGAGTCGAGTGACAGTGTGTGGTTGAGTCGAGTCGAGTCGAGTCGAATCAAGCATTAGTTTATTATATTAGACCCAAAGGCTGCTGCGTGGAGATCGCTTGTTTAGAAATCTATATAACAGCAGATAGCGAGAAGTGGAACTTCGGTTTTATCTCTGGTTTGGCTTCGGGTCTGGAATAAGTTTATGCTGACAATATCAAAAACCAAATTGCAACATACGAAACTACAGTTTCTGATTATATAGAAATATATCGAACTATTGTTTTTTGAAAGCCCGACATCACTTTAGCCGGAGTCACATCAAGGGCTTAAGAAATTGCCCGAGGCCGATGGTGAAACCAAGAATTGGGAAATGCGTATAGTTCCGAATTACGTGTAGTAGTTTTTGCCCTACCGTGAAAACCACGAGGTGGGAATCCTTGATACGGGTATATATTATGAGCCAGAACTGGCCACAGCTTGACGCTAACGCGAAGTACGCGAACATAAATAACTTTGTACCGTATAAGTCACTGCAAATATATTTTGGCACGGTTTTGTGACTCGAATGTTTTTAGCCTTCGACTCGATAAGGGGCTCGAGTCGAGTGGAGTCATTTGCTCGCAGTGACTCGAGTCGAGTCGAGTCAATTACTCGTTGGGACTCGAGTCGAGTCGAGTCGCCAAAAATTCTGACTCTAGTCGGACTCGAGTCGAGTCATTGACTCAAGTCATTACAACTCTACACACAAGATACCTCAAAAGAATTCCTGAGATTCGGGGAACACAGTGAGAAACACAAGGGTGGGGGGGTTCCCTCCGCCACACATCTCGCTTCAAATGGATTTGCCACATACCCTCTGAGCCATGTGAACTGATGTGATGGCTGAGATGAAGGCTCTATACTGGCATGCATTCAATAGACAATGCATTGCTTTGTCTATTTGTCATCCCGGATGAAAGGTTTGTTTAAGTTTGTAAACGCAGCTACTGCAAATTCCCTGGAACCACCTCTCCGTGTCTTGTTCACGGCAACACATAAAGAGGGGCTGTAGGAAAGTTTCGGCCATTTGAATGATTCAAGGAAAAAAATCGTAATATTAAAAAAATAAAAATAATATAATTTAATTTGAAGCATATATTGCAGCTATTCTGTAATCAGCCAGTTTTAATTATTAATGCCCAAATGAGAAAGGTCGACACAAATCGATACATTTTTTCTTATAATGTGTCTTTGCGTTGCCACAGCAAGTCTAAGCGGTTGCCACAGTGATATATACCGCCTCTGTATAGATATAACGATACTTTTCCGATCTCTCAATGACAGACAGGAATGGTCTGGTCACACTTTACGTGTGAGAAAAGAAACGCAGTCACTTCCTGTAGGGAACCGAGCATAATCATATCCCAGTCTAGAGAGTATCAGGGCTCTCCAGAGAAAAACACTCTTGCACCTGTCCTTAGAGCACACGCGTCCTAGCCGAAAGCTTCGCCCGATCTGGTAAAAAAAACTACCATGGATCAAAAGATCAGGTCATGTTTTTACTTGGGCCACACGCATCGGCAAAAAAAAAATGATACATTGCATGAGCAGAGCGGTTTCTTTTTTTTTTCACGGCTTGGATGACTTAAGTACCGGAAGTCTCAGAAAATGCCTCCTCCACGAGCGAGGATTTTTTTTCCCGAAGCTGCTCCTTTTGTTGTAACAAGTTTTGAGATTTTGTCCTTAAGTGCCCCCTCGACCGAGTGGATTCTAGATATAATTTGATTCCGAATGCGAGAATCGTCGTCTTTTAAGATATCAGATAGGGTTGATAATGAGAAGGGAAAAAGGCCTGTCGGCCGTTGCACTCGCACGTGTCGGTGTTGGTTTACGGATAAATAGCATGTCCCCCAAAAAGTGTCGGTCTGACTGTTTTTGAAATAACTAAAAAACCATGAAGTTCATTTGGAAAATTTTGGTTGTGCAGATACTCCTTATCCTTTGCCTAAACCCCTATGAGTTTGATTTCAGTCACGCAATCACTGCACAATGGTTGATCAACAGTTTTGGACACTAGTGACCAAGTTCCTTGAATTTCAGTGCTGTGTTATGTAAGTTGTGTAAAATCCTGCATGTTGTGAAAGAAAGGATGATAGGGTTTGGGATTAGATAATTGTGCTCTTGAGCATTAAACTGAGGTCCTGCCGTGATGACTGATAGTCAGGCAAACGATTCCAATCCCAACCGCAGCCCTGTACACAGCATGCAAGATTGTACACAGCTTACATAACATAGCACTGAAAGTCATTAAGGCAAGGAACTCGGTCACAGTGTCCAAAAAATGTTGATGTGATCAATAGACAATTGTGTAGTGATGCGTGACAGAAACGAAATGAAACTCATAGGCAAAATATAAGGAGTATAGTCTGCACAATCAAAACATTTCAAAATTGACCTCATGGTTTTGTAGTTAATCCAAAAATAGTCAGTCGGAGACTTTTTTTAGGGGGAGGGACCTACTATAGATGACAAAGGCACTCGTAGTAGTGAGGTACCTTAGTGACAAAAATGTCAAGGATCGTGACACGGTGGACAAAAGCACAATTTTTTCACCAAAGCATCTCCATGGTATACCTTTTCGAAAAATAGACGGACGCAAAAAAATCGGATGATGGGAAGGGCATGTATGACGTCATTGATAGAAAGTACATATTTAGAAGTTTGAAGGAAAGGTGGAGATTGTAGCCTAAGAATAAACCACACAAAATGGCACGGGTGTACTTAGAGTTTCCAAGCCCAGGCCTCAACAGGGAAATACAAGCCAGGGACGCCCTGAATGTAGACGAGGAAATGCCTGACGGTGTTTGACATTAAGAAAAGGAAGACAGGACTCCCCTTTCAATTTTGGACTTATTTTTAATATCCGGGTCTTTCCATTTCATAAAAACGGCTGAGCCATTCATGTGTATGTTACTGCTTTGGAAAGAGTTTGCGTAAACAGAAACTAAATGTTTGTAATACACCGGTGCTTAATACAACATTCTTGCTTCCATTAAATGAGGTTAGATAATAAGAA